TTGAAGTTCAGGTGGTAACGTCATAGGAGGGTTTGTGAACCTGTCAACAGAAGCAAATAAAGCTCGAGCATTGTTAGTGTTTTTGTTTATGACATCTGCAAAGAAAGCCTCTCTTGCATGTTTTAGTGTTGTGTGATAGTTATGTTGTCTGGCGTCTAGAAAAGCAGCCAAGATAATCCAGAAGAAACTGCAGACAGTGATGCTCATGTTTCTACCCTCTACATTGTACATCGTAGAGGTTACAGCAGGAAAGTAAGTTGAATCTGGTTGAATATTTTGTTTTCTGTTATTCACCAGCAGTACGGTAATTGTTTCCATAAGGCGTCAATAACTGGCCAGCAGGGGGCAGTGTTGCTACATGAATGATGGTTAAATGCAGGGATGCCCAAGTCCAGTCCTAGAGAGCCCCCATCCTGCAACTTTTAGATGCATCCCTGCTTCAACACACCTGAATCAAATGAATGGCTCGTTAACAGGCCTCTGTAGAGCTGATCCTGGTCTGTTGGAGTAAGGATACTTCTAAAACTTGCAGGATAGTAGCTCTGGAGCACAGGACTTGGGCACCCCTTGTTAAAGGATCCGAGGGAAACATCAGAATTTGTGATCCTCTGTGAACTAGATGGATTTGGAGATGCTCTGGGTACAGACTGAATGTAAACGGACCTGATTTATACTCTGATGTTCTTCCATTAAATATTGTGGTATTAACGATCCAGTTGGTTTTTATTGTCTCCATGGCAACATGCTCTTTAATGAAACATATTACCATGAAAGCACCAATGTCATTGATGTAATAAATATGAAAAGAAAATCTGAAATTCAGTCTACTGTTTTCATGACAACAGAACCCAACAGAACCTGGTATAACATGGCCTCTTCTGTATCCTGTGGGACAGCTTTGACTGACCGACCGACCCACCAGGTCATGTCTGCATGTTCACAGTTAACAATATTCGTCACACTGTTGCCAGTTCAACAACTTTCTTCCTAAATTCAGCAACATTTCAGACAAAAACAATGGTATCAGCAGGTTATGCTTTTTAAAAGATCGGTAATCTACAATCGGCCAGAAAAATGGAATTGGTGCACCGCTAATGAGGCCTGAGGGATTATATTTTAGTATTTTATTACAATATGTTTAATCAGCAGGTATTGAAGCTCATATTAACCAATTTAGTATGATCTTCTATAATATCATGGCTGCTTGTAGATTTTTCTGTGCACACGAACATTAACTTCCTGGTCAGGTTGACGGTACACGGCTTGGTCTGAACCTGCAGCAGTAAAATCTCAGAAACAATAACTCTTTATTATGAAGCAGGACTGATGAACCAAAACTATTGAAAGTAACTCTAATCATTAGTTACGTCAGCAGCCAGTGCTGTAATATTCCAGAAGAGGTTTTAGCCCAGTTTAAGGTCTGGCTTTGTTCTATATAACTGCAGGTATTAAGATTGGAAACCAGATCTGACTGAATCTTTGTGTGAATTTTTCTGTCAGCTTTCCAAAGAAATCTTTACATTTTATTAAAGTTTGGTTGATTTTAACTTGCTGATCTCTCACATCACAAACCTGGTGGAAGATGTGTTGATGTCTTTAACAAGACATGTTAACATATGAAAATAAAATAACCTGATATTCAGTCTAATCTTCCTTTGGCAACAGAACCAAACAGAACTTGGTATCATCACATGGCCACAATGACAGATAAACAGATCAGTTACAGCAGTTAGAAACAGCTCACCTCTCTGATGGTGGAGATCCAGCAGATTTAAAGTCAATGAAGTCTTCCTTTGACCAGTCGCTCTTAAAGGACACACAGCTGGGTTCTGGTTCTGGATCTGGTTCTGGTCTGAGTCTCTGATGGATCCTGACAGAAACATGATGATTAAAACTGAATCGCTTCAGTCTGGATGAAGCAGCAAAGAGGAGCAGCAGCAGCTTCATCTCACCTCTCTGCTGGTGGAGATCCAGGAGATTTAAAGGTAATGGCCAGATCCTTTGACCAGACGCTCTTAAAGGACACACAGCTGGGTTCTGGTTCTGGTTGTGGTTCTGGTTTTGGTTCTGGTCTGAGTCTCTGATGGATCCTGACAGAAACATGATGATTAAAAGTGAATCTGTTCAGTCTGGATGAAGCAGCATCACCACGTCTGTTTTGGCCTGATATAGTGAACGCTGTGTGAAAAGGGCTGTGGACAGTTAGAGATGGTGACCTCACCTCTGACCTTTGCTCTGGCTCTCATCTTCCCCACACAGAGTGGTTTTAGAGGGAGGGACTCCCTCCTCTCTGTCCTCACACTGATCCATGCTGCTGAATTCACATCAGCTCACACACACTTTCTACCTGCAGAGGAAACACACATCATTCATCTGCACATCAACTCTGATCATCCTTTACATCATTAGTGCTGGAAAAAGATCAGCTGCTCCTCCTCTGATTGGCTCTTCTTCTCTGCTTCATATCAGTGTCAGGTGAAAGCAGTCAGACAGCAGAGAGGCAGAGGAAGCTGCATCAGCTGCTGCACTTCTACTATCAGTCCACTAGATGGAGACATGGAGCAACATTTACATTCACTGGTTCAACCTGCACTTCTACTATCAGTCCACTAGATGGAGACATGGAGCAACATTTACATTCACTGATTCAACCTGAACAACAGGAAAGATTTTAATTAATTATTATTAAACTACCCTCTCTGATAGAGATTAACTACTTAATAATCATTCTGAATTAAACACATTTTAAGAATAATATTTTACTTTGAAACTGTTGTGTTTAACTTTAATGGTGAAGATCAGAATTTGAATCCAGGAAATAAAAACATAAATCAGTTTGTTCAGCGAAGAAAACAATGAAACATCAAAACTTCATTAATTTATTCGATTCCAGTTTATCAGTGCCTTCAAACAGCAGAGAGATGAGTTCATGTCAGTAGTTTTCTGTTCTACAAACATGCGAGAGAAAAATAAGAAACAAACAGGAAAGTTCCTTAAATCAATGTTCAAGTAGAAAACAAAGAAAACTTACAGTTTGTTCAAACGATCCCAACAAGCTTCTGAAAAACAAACTGAGACCCAACAGAACCGCACCAGACTGGTGCCACACCGTGAACAGGTGAGTTTAAACTGAAAGTATAATGAGGAGAAATGAGCCCAAACTGGTTTAACTGGTCAGACTGACTGACAGTCAGAGAAATGTTTACCTGCTGACTTCTGAAGACATGAATCCTCCTCATGACTCCCAGTTTGAACACAACGACTTTGTTGCTGTTATTCTGCTGATCCAGGTTTTGTTCAGCTCTAATGGAACCAGAACCTGTTTTAACTTGGAACCAACTGGACTCTTCAATGTTGGGGAATTTATCTTTCCCTGTTGGTGAAACTATAACCTGCATGACGTCTGATTATTAAATCCAAAAAGCAGCATTTTTAAATGATCCAAGTGTATCAGAGATGGTAAAAATATTTCAGATCTGGAATCGGTTCTAAGATTTCAATTATCAGGAAATGAATTAAAGATCATTTGTTCCTCAACTGCTTTTGAAATGAGCTCAATACAACAGCAGTAAATATTACATTGAATCATAACTTTATCAAAATGAATCAGAACCAAAATACTGAAGCAGTGAGTGAAAAACTAAATCCATCATCAAGGAGCTGCTGGTCGAATGCAGATCAGAACTTTAATTATTTTTATGAGAAAGAACACTGAATATTTAAAAGAGAACAAGAAGTATTACAAGTTTTGAGAGGAAATACATGAC